GTATGTAAAGCCGCAATCTATATCATCTATGAAATATGTCAAACTAAATAGTGAAAATTACTTACAGTTTGACAACTATTTATTTATTTATAAATTCTAAAACAATCTTTAAGAAATGCAAGAGAATATGACGATCGACGACGAGAAAATACAAACACAACACAGTTCTTGAAACTACATTTAAGATTGATTGACGTTCTAGAATACGGGCCTAAGAGTCAGGTGATGATTGACGTCATAGAAACATAATACGAATATGGCATAAAAGGGCAGTGTTTTATTAGCGGGAACGGGCGTGGTCTTGAAGCCGTTCCAACCCTATCGGAAGTGAGACAAAACTTCCTGTACGCCTTTGTTGCTTCATTAGACCTTTTTGCCGTGCTGAAATGAACAGCGCTTTTGGAATTTAAAATTTAGCATATTTAAAAAAATACTTACTCTCTCTGCAGTTAAGTTGACGCGGAATGTTTAGTCTATTTTAAGGGGTAGATCTATATATAGGCCTAGAATAACTTAAAATATGGAAATTAATATGACACTAATATTCATTAATTAGTTTTGAAAAATCTAATACCTATTAACCAAAATAGGCTCATTTAAAGTTGTAATTCTGCAGTAAAGTCTTTTTTCACGGAGCATTCCATGTACATTGTAAAGCATGTCAAAAAACAAAGTAGAAAAAAATTACATAATATGGCAAAATATAAGTCACTAACTACTGCCACAGCTAGCTTAATAAATAATTATAGATACAGATAATAAAATACGAAACTAATTTCTCTATAGCTTTTTTGAATATAAATGTATTTTACGAATATTTTACGAATAAGAGTTTGTTATTGTATTTCCTATCAAAAAGAAAATACAATTTACAGGATTAAAATGCGGTTTTTAATCACCGCTAAATGAAGATGATACACTTGTATTACAATGTAATTAAAACTCGCTTTCTTTCTCTATTAAAAAGTCATAAAAACACTGATTTTAATAAACTTTATACCTACAAGTAAAATTAATGTCAAGGCCCAATTTTAAGACATTTCTGTCAAAACGTTTCCTTCCAAATGTCAAAGGATTGTGAATGAATTGTCGGTGAATTCTTTGATAAAAACTGATTATACATCTATATTAGAGCGAGTATCTTGTTTTCTTCATGGTGTTGCCAGTATTATTATAATTATTTTATTTATTATATATTGAAACATGATAATTCACCTTAGAATTTATTTCTTTTAACTTACGTATGTGTATATATATATATATATATGTATATATATATGTGTGTGTGTGCCTTATAATAAAATATTTTTATTATGAAGTTAAATAAAGTACTTACTACAGTAACTCTACCACTTAAGCTATAAAATACTATATGACGGTTGACACTAAACAGATTTAAAATAATTACTGAAATTTCAATAAATATGTTTTATTACAAGAATACTCAATATTCGGGTGAATTTAAACATAGCAACCCTATTTCCCACCTCCACACGTTCACCGGCTGTGTTACCCGATCTCTGTACTATTATGTCCATTATTTGGGCAACACTAATTGTGCTCCTTTCGAGACGGGAATGGGCTGTAGCGTTGTTGTTTGTTCCATAATAAAAGCGAGATGTGGTGAAATTAGTCAGGAATGTTCTTTATACGCTTTTACTAAAAGGTAGAGGGCCAAAGAGGTCATTTTTCGTACCTGTATTTAGATATATATAGAAGCTTTTTTTTATCATTAATTTGATATATTTTTTTAACTAATATACGTTTAGACTTACGATATTGTTTAATTAAGTATACAAAGTCCTTAGACGAAATATGTTCTATATTTAAGTCTAGTTGACAATCAATACAAAGACACAAATTAATAATAAGCTAATCAAAGAGTTAATGGCCTTGTTGAATGCACTTCACGACTGGCAACCAAAAGATTTCTTTCTACGCATTTGACACTCGCTCGTACGGTGATGTAAAACATGGGCCTTACCACCGACGGCGTATCAGGCACAGAAGGAAATTTTATTTTAATAGGCAAGTAGGTGTACTTGTCTATTTAAAACATACATATGATCACGAAACAGATATAGAAAACTGAAGCCCAAGCCTACATGGTTATAGCGCCACTGGTTTTTTCCACAATAAGTTATTCTTAACGCCTCATAAGTGGCTTCAGTTAGTGAATTCAAACGACAAAATATGCATAGGTATGCAAAACTAATACAAAAATCATTGTTTATCCTATTCGTATTTATTGATATTTTAAAACCATATCAATTGAGTAACACATATTAGGTAACAAGGCATCAAGGTTTGCTATAACTAATAAAATTATGTACTGCCCTGCGATTCTGTAACTCACACAGCGGTTTTCGCATCGGCGGTCGCTCTCAAATCAGTCGTGAAGCAGTCATTTTATGATTTGGCATTCTGAAAAGGTGGGAGCTTGTATTTTATTGTTTATCAGACTGATTTGAGAGCGACCGCCGATGCAAAAACCGCTGTGTGAGTTCGAAAAGTGAGTTACAGAATCGCAGGGCAGGTATTGTTAAATATTATATTACTAATAAATCTAAGGAAATCACTTCACAAACACAACTTATAGTAAAAATTAAAATTAATTAGCAGAGCATAACTCCTGCTATTAACCTAGGTAACTTTCTCTTGTTTATCTTAACATATTTTTCTGAAAAACAAAACACTACTGAATAAATATTATAACGTCTTGTTTTTAAGCATTGGTGTGTAACAGTTGTACAAATAGATCTCAAGTTACGTCTTACGATACGTTGCACGTCAACTAATTTGTCGAAAATGCTTGATATTTAATACTGAAACTGAGTGTTTTAAGTAAATATTTTTGTTGGATTGAAATGTATCCGCGTCTACATATATTTAGAGGGAGCTAAAATTATTGTTTTTTATTATTTAATTATTGTTAACAATCCAAAATGATCCAACATTGGTATTTTTATGTAACCTAAACATTAAATAGATTTCTAGCAACTAAATATGCATAACATTCATTGAGAGTTAACGGATATTTCGATTCTAGGTTCAATAAGTTCATCGTAGAAGTAATCGGAACTAGAAAGGAATTAACTGTCCTTAGATCAGTTAATCAGGTATCGTAATGTAATCTATAGCTTAAGATATACTTAGGTTGTCAGATTTTAAAACGTTTATAACATTTGAAATGCCGCTTCACGTAATTTGGTCAGATTCCGCACTTGTAATTGTAAAAAAAATTAAATACTTCTGCGCATTGAATGTCTCTGGCCAATTTATTTGCCGTCAACTAGGTAGATATGCTGTGACTAAACGCTTTAATATGGTCAGGGTCCTGGCACTAAACCTTACGATCTTACGAAAACTATCGTTACTTTTTTTTAAAGTTTAAACAGTCTGATTTAGTTTTTATGTAGCCAACCAACTTACAGACTATTTCTCGCATAAGTATGGCTACCTGTCTCTTGTTTTGTTCAAACCAATGCTAAAGGTGTGATTGTTGACAACTGAGTTGTAACGATAAGCCGATTCCCACGATAGAAATAGTCCATTTTACGAAAAGAGCAAGTCAAGCGAAATAATCATACTTGTTGACTTTTATTGTATCAGAAATCCGCGTGAGGTTTCTACTTCGACTGCGTTTCCTTTGTTGATCACCGAAATTTAAACAATTACACATTTTTAATAAATGTTATTAATAAATCTAAAAAACGTCGAGTCAGTCAAATTTAATCAAGAGTCAAAACAAATAATATGTTCTTGCTTTTATTAGGATTTTTACTACGTGCGACATCTCTTGGCCAGTAGCGACTAGAAAGACATAATCATAACTCTTACTTAAATTCTTAAGCCCTATAAATCAAATTACAATGAAAAAAGCGAAAAACTTATACTTATATTATTAGAGATTATTTGATGCAAACGTTGTAAGCAATAGTATTAAATAACTTGGGGAATCACGACATCTATAGGCATTTCAAGCAAGTGTTTATCTAAATTACTAATGATATGTCACGCCATCTTGCGACAAACTGATAACTTTATAAAAACCATATATCTTAGAAGAAACTAGAGTTCTCCTTTTAAAATAAAGATGGCATAGTTTCAGGTCATAAACTACTGATCTGAAATAATGGGTAATTTGATAAAATTTGGTAACCACCCAATAGAAATTTAAATATAATATTTATATTAATGTAAATAATTAACTCTTCAGGGTATAACATTTTAATTTAATACTCCATAATTTCAAGCACATAATAATATATTATAATACAAAATATAATCAAATCAATTGTAATCAATCTGAAGGATATTATTAAAATAAAATTAACCTAAAAGAATTATGCCTGTCATGGATTAAAAAATTTACATCATATTTACTTTCTAAAAATGGCACTTATAATACAATTTTATGGTCAAAATTATAACATTCATTTGTTTCTCTGAATAATTCAAATGCAAAATTATTATCACCGCAGAAAAATATACCTTAAAAAAAATTAAAAATGGGTGCCGACCTGACCATAGTATAAATAATTATTGTTTAAAACTATAAAAATGGTATACTTTTAAAATATATTATGTATTTTATGAAAGTCAACATCTATTTAGATAAGCCTATAAAAGTTGTGATGTATTAACATTGTGTTCCAAATTTTAAATGATGTATAAAATTACTCTATATATCGCATATTACTACTAATTCACTCTTACGTATTTGAGTGTTTTATATCACTAAAATCTATAAATATTAGATAAAATGTGCTTTTTATAGGCACTGACCAAATCCATATGCCATGATCTATAACAATTTATTCAGCAAATTGCAGGCTAGATATCTACTAGTAAGTATATTCGATACATTACAATTTCATCAAGCTAAAATATACAAACAGCATTTGCTTAACACTGGTGGACAATTTAATTTAAACCAACTAATAACCTATACTCAGTAGCAATAATGAAACTTTATAAGTCAGTTACAATGCATGTTCTTAACAAAAAAATTTTCTCTGCTTAGGCTCCACATCACTATCACTATCTGAAAAACAAGTAGCAAAACCACTTTTGTCCCTTAATGAATCTTTTTTCAATGATTGTTTTTTAATACTTGTGATACACTTCTGTTGCGGTGCATCAGTATTTCTAATATTCTTCTTTGCAGATACAGGGTTCCCAACATTTATTACTGGACTAGAGCTTTCCTCATTTGAGTTTATTTGTTCACATGTGTTTTCAATAAGCCTTTTACGACTCCTAGTTCTGTATACAAATCTTTCTGGTGAATTCTCTTTCCTATCATTCTTTTTTTGAGGTGTTTTTCTTTTATTTTGTGTATTTTTTACCCGTCTAGGATAACGTGAAGTTGCACTGCTGCCTGATTGAAAGGATTCATTTGCCAAGTGACCATTATTATTTTTTGAGATGTGTTTTTCATCAGTTGAATTTACAAATTTAAGCAAAGATGTGCTTTGGCTTATCCTTTTAGATTTTTCTTTATTGGAAACGGTGATTAGATTGATTACATTTTGAGATGAGTCTGTACTGTTATTCAAAACAGCAGATGCTTCCTCACCTGTGTTCATCGACTTGTTTACACAAACAATTACCTTGTTGCCATCTTCTACATTTTGTCCAGAACCTTGTATAGTAATCTTGTTAGTCCTTCTTCTAACCTTTCTAGGTGTTTTTTTAAGTTTAGTGGAACGAATATAGTTTGCTGTGAAGCCTGATACATCACTGTAGTCTTCATATTCACCATTACATACTTCATTTTTTGATTTCCTTTTTATTATTTCTTTTTTACTTCTACTCAGTTCACTATCTAATATTTTCATACTATCTTCACCTTGTTTAGCTTGTATCATTTCTTGACTTCTAATGCCATTAATAGCACTTTCGTTTACAATTTCTACAGAAGAATCAAAGATTCCAGTAGTATTCATACTTTGTTGAAGACGCAAACTCCTTCTTAAGTTTTGTTGTTGAGATGGGGATTCCACCTTAGGTGTAGATCTTGCAGTTTTATTTCTTCTAGTTAAGCTATTTTTATTAATTTTATGAATTCTTGGCTTTTTTGGTTTTGGTGTTGAAGTATTTTTTATATTAACTTCAATACCACTGCCAGATGAAATTGATTTACAGTTATTTACAACTCTCTTAAGGTTTTGCTGAGGGGTTTCAAAGTAAACATTCTGCTGTTTCTCCGATAAGTATGAATTATTATCTAGTAGGTTTTTCTTTTTCTTTTTAGGCGGTGAAACTTCATTTTCAACTGGAAGTGCATAATCTCTCGAACTGTGAGCCTCTGAAGTTTGTTTCTTCATAAGTTTATCATAGTCATAGAGGCATGGAGCTCGTTTTGTATAAACCCAATAAGATATCTCATCCATATTGTTCATAAAGGGATCTCTCGTAGGCAGGTTAAAGATAATGTTGGTTTGAATGAATTTACGTGGGTGAAAATCTTTGTTGTGCATTGACTGAGAAGAAGACGTCCCAGGCATTGGATGGGTGTGAGGCATATGCAGGTCCCTCGCATCATCAGTTCGTCGCTTCCGCTTGACCCTGCACGCCGGTGACCAACATTTCCCGCCATTTTCTTCACATTCCATGCACCTGGAATGGTTTATATTATAATTAAAATTAAGACGTTAATAAGTATAAACAAAAATTTTTAACCATTGTTGCAACAATCGCAAAAAAGCTTGTACAAAAACAAGTAAGATTACTTACGTTTAATGTGGTTCAAATCAGCATTTTATAACAAAACATAACAATTTTACGAAAGTAATAAAATTAAATACTTTAAATCGAATAAACACAACCTATGTACTCTTGTTAATTTTGTATCAGTTGTATTAATAAGGTACCTTATATATATAATGAGCCAAGGCGATCAAAATCACAGAAAAAGAAAATGATATAAATCTTATTGTTTTCGTAGTAAATTCTAATACAAATTCACAAAATTATTAAATTCATAGTAAAGGAAAACGAAATATTTCTTCATTCTTGTGACATATGACACTCAAACGGAACACCAAGCAAGCCACAGAGTACAGACATGACTATTGATAATAAAAGTAACAATAATGGAGAATGGAAGGTATCAATACCAATGCAAAGAAACGCCACATTCAGCTTTATAAACATAATGGTTAGAACTTAGAATAATAACAAATGCATTATTGGATTGCCTCGGAAAAATGGTCAAAGGGTTTTTATTACGCCATATTAATAAGCTTTTAATATGAAGTTTTTTAGGCGCAGGGTAATTTTTTTATATTATTATTAATACATAATATTAGCGGCACAAAGATGTGCAGCGTTTTTGTTGAAGAAAAGAGAGAGAGCAGTTGTGAAAGAGTGAGAAAGGGCGATCGTAGCATGAAGCAAATAGCCATGGAACGAGAGTAGGGAGCAAGCAAGTGAGAAAGATCGAGAGATTGAGTGAGATGAGCAAACGTTGAATCATTCACAGTACCATGGAGCGAGAAGTGGGAAAGAGCTATAGTGAGAAAGATTGTGAGAGAGAGTAAGAGAGATCGAGAAGAAAAACACCTATTGGTTGCTGTATTCGTTTAGTAGTTACATATTAGAACTTTAGATGGCAATTCTGTCGCATAACGTCTTGATGGCAGTTCTGTCGCATAACGTCTTGATGGCAATTCTGTTGCATAAGGCAGATTTTAATTTATTTATATTATCATTAGCACGTATACAGTGTGTAAAAATTGTGAATATAGATACACAAATAAATGGTGATCATATACTGGTAGGTACATGATCATTTATTTGGGCTTTTACCTTAGTATTAATTAATTTACAAAGAAGTTTCACTTCTAACATGTGTACTTTGTACGCACGCACTTTTTTATTTACAAAATAACAGTTCCGCCACATTAGTAATGTTATCACTACATTTATGTTAAATAAGAAGAGCCCGAGGTTTATTTTTATAATTGAACTAGCAGACCAGCCAAGCGTTGCTGTGGCTAAGGTTTTTGTTATATTACAAAGTAGCAAACTATTCAAGGGAAACGGTGGGAGAACACCAGTCATGGGGACCACCGTCCACCATGGTTTTTTGGTGGTTATGCCATTAAATTGGTACTATCAATACAGCGCCATCTGTTAGAATTGTATCAAATAATAAACAAATATTTGCAATAAAATAATATTGCGGGTATAAATTGAGATGTAAGCTACCCTATCTTTTAAGTTGGATCAAACTACACACGGTGTGCAAATTTGATTTATCGGTTTGGTAGTTTAGGAGTCCATCGAGGACAAACAACGTGACACGTAATTTATATATATTAAGATATTAATATGGAGAAGCTGTCACGTATCTGTTTCTTGATAATTTCATTAATAAATTAAAGCAAGCATTGTTGTTTTTGTATGTTTCCTATATTATTTTGACATTGGCTATAGCGTATAGATTGTCTAATCTATGTAAGGCATGGTGAATTTTTAATGTTTTGACTTTTGAATCTACCTGATCAATCATCATTTTCAATCATCTATGTTATGTCGCGATTAGTTTCCTTCGTTTTTTATTATTCATAAACTGTAAATACATAATTAAAACAGCGACTTAAAAAAATCCTATACCTACTTGACGCTGGCTAATGCACAGACCGTGCCAGAGCCATAAAGGAAAAAAAAAAAAAATCTACCTGATCTGACCAGTGACAACACTGACAAATGACAATATTTTTTGCGGGTAAATTTATTAAGCGATTGCTCTTTTGTTTTGTTTCATTAATGCAATTCTTTTAGTATGCTATAATTATAAAATGAACAATTTACAAAGTGTAATTGATCGTCAGCTAGGTATTTGTAAGTATAATTGTATTATATTAACATTAAGATATATGAAATATTAAGTGTTCGCAATAACCTATAAGTTTGTGTTATTATTTAGATGGTCGGTTTAACTACGATAATATTCTGAAACGGTTCGTGGTCTACGAGGATGAGTCTTATTATGGACTGCAGAGCAATGCTCAGGCTGCCAATTTCGATCAAGACTCACCTATATTTGCTTGTCGCTTCTCAGAAGCTTCAGGATATGAACACATAGTAGCACTGGCAGATGAAGACGGTCAGGTTACTATTCAGGTAATATAATTTTCACAAAGTTTTCTACGACATATGGTGTGATAGAATTCTGTTAAATAAATGTATTCTTTTATTGACATAACCTTTAGGTTAAAAAGTGTTTTCTTTAAATATATCTTGTTTATGTTATGCTGTATAGTTTGATAGTTATTTAAATTCAATTATGACAGTTTGTTAAATTTGTGTAATTATCTCTGGAAAATGTTACAGAAGGACAAAGATCTATTGAAATATATTTTATTAATATATAAATGTCATTTAGCCAATACGAATATTTTTAGTATTATGAATTATGTTTCAGGATACATCAACAGCATCAAAAGCTAATTCTTTGGAAGGGTTTCAATGTCATGATAATGCTGTTTTTGATTTAGCTTGGATGCCTAAACACATGAATTTTGTCACAGTTTCAGGTAAGGGTTACCATTAAACACATAGATAAAACTACTATAACTATAAACTTTGCTGGAGGATCAAGCCATATGTGTTTATGAGGATGACTTATGAATATATTTTTAGAGTCCTAAAATTACATTTTCGGAAATCATAATTAGTTTGGAATATATTGGCTCCCAGTGAGTCTTCCCTATGAGATTCATGGACATTGAAATATTTATAATCATTTATTATCCTCCTTTGCGATGGCTGCACTTTATATCTGTTCCGTAAGCTCATTAGCACCCTTATTATATAATGGAAAGGAATTAAAATATAAAAGGGTAAAATATATAACTCATTTAACTTGTTGTAGATTTCTATAAACTTTTTGACACTTTACGTTTTAACAAAATAAAGGCTTAATTATTTCTACCGGCATCTTATATGTTGTTGCAAGTTTTGTAACAATTTCTTATTACATTTTTCTCAAAGAATTTTTTTTTCTAGGTATTTCTGCATAGTCCAACTAAAATACACAATTTAAACATGAGAAAATTCTTATAAATGATGTGCTTGCAAATCTTATGTTATGTGGAAAATTTCACTCTTTGTCTTATTGATTAGGTATAATATGTATGACATTTCTTTGTTATAGGAGACCACACGGCTAGCCTGTGGAATGTTGCAGAATCTGCACCTAGACGTGTAGTTTTATTCACTCACCACACGCGTTCTGTAAAAACAGCCGTGTTCCGACCGCAAGAGCCAGCCGTGTTCGCGACGGGCGCTCGAGACGGTCGAATCCTTATTTGGGATGTTCGAGCTAACAATCAACCTTCTGTAGTAGTTAAGCCCGATAACTGCTTAGTAAACTGCCACTCTTTAAGTTTTACACCCAAAACCCCCGGATCACACTCTAAGAGAGCTCGCCTTGATCCCCACCGTGCCATATCAGTCACTGGTCTCGTTTTCCAAGATGACCAAACGCTCATCTCATGTGGAGAATGCGATGGAATTATCAAAGTGTGGGACCTACGCAAGAATTACAGTGTACACAGAAGGGAGCCCCTTCCGAAACACGCTATACCGTACTGCGGAATGTCCACTAAAAATGGTTACACGAATCTTATCATTGATAACGCTAGAATGCGTCTTTATGCAAGTTGTATGGATAATTATATTTACTGTTTCAATATATCCACTTACAACACCATACCTGAGCAAAGATACAGGGGACATGAAAACAGTACATTTTACATTAAGACTAGTTTAAGCCCGGATAGTATGTATCTTGTCAGTGGAAGTAGCGACAAAAATGCCTATATTTGGAATGTCAAGTATTCTGATCCGATCGTTAAACTAACTGGGCACTGGGCTGAAGTGACTTGCGCTGCTTGGTGCCAGAAGGGCGACGTAAAAATCGTGACATGCAGTGACGATGCTCGCCATAAAATTTGGAGAATCGGACGCGAGTGCCTCGAAGACGATGTGAAATATGAAGGTAAAGCTGAAATCGTCCCACGCAGAGATATCTCTCACCCCGATCTATGGAAGGCTAGGCATATTGACTTGACACCGAATTCTCTAAAGAGAAGATTAGGCAGTAACAGGTCGAGTTCGCAGAGCCCAAAGCGTATGCGAACAGAAAGTGCCACGGGAAGAAAAACAAAACGATGCCTTACAGACCTCATGAACGCGTCTAAGGGTGACGAGTCTCTAGCAAAGAGACTTAGACCAGATGTTATTCCTGAAGAGGAAGAGCCAAAGTTATTGCCAGCGGGTTCTAAACGCCACTTAAACGATGATAGAGATAGTGGGAAGAAGGTTTATAATTCAGATCCAATCCAAACGGCAAGCGAGTGCTATATTGCGCAAGCTAGTTGTTCTTTTACAACTCCCACCAAAAATTATGAAAAAAAATCCTGCAAACTTCTTTCGCCAAAAAGCCCTAAAGCTATTTCGCCATCTACAATGTCGAACAGAACTCCAGTCAAAGTCACCCCAAGCAAAGTTAGAATTATCTCTTTCTCCACTCCTACAGAAAATTTGCCTAATTACGTACTGACTGGTGAAGCACCGCACCTAAGCCTAATGTCACCGGTGAAGAAAAAACAGGATACGACAAATTGGTTGACACTGATGGTTCGACAGAAGAAAGGAAAAGTGGAAGACAAAGTTCAAGTTACGTCAGCCCCTCTTAGTCCAAAAGACCAAAACACACCAACGCGAAGAAATTCAGCCACAGAAAGACTGCCAAAAACAAACAAACATGGGACGCTACTTAAATATTTTAGTGTTTCCAGACGAGAGAACTGATTAGAATAAGTTTATAATCTATTTTACCTATAGACAACTAGTTAGTGTTTCATCTGTGAATGGACTTAAGCAATGTCAGAACTGATACAGACATACTCGAGTCCAAAAACGATGTTTTTTGAATGGTTTAATGAATAATAAAGTATGAGGCGAAATTTTGTAAACTAATTCCTTATAGGCCTTAAGTTAATTGTTTTTATACTTAGGACACCAATAAATATACATAAAAAAAATTCAAGTTTTATTACTCCTATAAACCACCCTTGATACTATACATAGACCTGGTAAATTCTGCTCTTCGTATGGTAGGGTTTATGACACACCCGAAGCCCATACCCCTCCCAAAAATATGAAGGTGCAGAACAAACAGAAACTACCCCGGGGTGATACCACACTCGCTCGCGGTGGAGAATCCCCCTCTGGGCGTCCTCCGGGACGCTCAGCACACAGGCCGCCCTTCGTATTCTGGGGGCGCAATTCTGCGCCCTACGACCAACATAGGTCAATTACTCGATCGATCTCGGGGCAAACAGACCAACCAAAAAAGGTCACCCTTCCACACTTGCCGTGAACTTCATAAATGTTTGGGGGCTCAACTTCAACATCCACGCTGTGCACTATCAATTATGGACTGCACAGAAAGAACAAGGCTCGCCTACACGGGGTACAAATTGTAACATTAATTAGTGCCGCGGGCGGGAGTTTTCGTGTACATCGGAGAGGATATCTGTTCTCGTCACCTCAGGACGCTTGAAGGAACGGGATTATTTAACCTCTGGCTGTGTGTAGACTGCGATGACCATCCGAAATCTACGCGTGCCTGTATAGGTCCCATAGTGGAAAAGACGAATCTGACCGAGTCATCGAGCACATCTCAGTTCTCACCTCTGGGCGGGGAGCTCCTTTCGCTTGACCGTATTCAACGAAGCGCGATTCGAATCATATATCTTCTACCACATTTACCATGGGAGTGATCAGAGGAATTGTTCAGACTAATACCTGTAGCTGATTTTCATCATCGGACTTCAAGGCAGAATACAAAATATCATCCGTATTACCTCGACGTTCGACGTACCAATCCTTAAGATAACGTAACTTAAGGTAACGCACTTGCGAGCCTTCTGGCAATGTGAGTGTCCATAGGCAGCGGTATCACTTGACATCAGATGAGCCTCCTACCCGTTTCCCTCCTTACATAAAAAAAACGTGTTCTCAACCCATCAACATCTAGAATACACAAGCCCAGTATGGAATCCTTATTATTCCATCTACGAGATTGAGATTGTCCAAAAAAAGATAGGAAAAATTTCACCGGCGTGCTGACATGTCCCGCACTCGGTCTAAAAAACTTACATATTCCAGCCAGGTCTCTTCGCTCATGCAATACATTTGATTTCCCTGTAACGCGTACTAACGTCGGGTTCCGTGCCCCTATACATAAAATGTGTAATTCCTAAATGTTAAAATGTGTATTCATAACATTCAGGTTTTCAAAGTTGTTATGTTTTCGTGCTCGTCACTGCTTTCAAGCGCATTTAAAGGGCCTGATCGACGGACGAGTAAGACCGCGGTTTTATGGCTCTTCGGTAAAGCTCGCCGGTGTATCATTGCAAAACCACGGTTTTAAATACCGCCGAGCCTGGATCGCGGCTCGTCGTTGTGTGTTTTTAAATGGGTATGTGACAAAGCTTGCCTTTTTTCAATCCAACTTTTAACCCAAACTTTAGGGCGTTTTCTTTTTTTTTCATGATTGCGTAATATCCTATGGCGAGATAACACAAGGCTTCAGACTCGGAACAAGACATGTTTGCGACTGTTTTGCTTGCTAATCGATCTTCACCAACGAGCCAGCCAGGTTCGTCGGTATTTAAAACCAGGGTCTTACTCGCTCATAGGCTTTAAATCAATGTAATTGTTTTGTATTTCTGTATTATATACCTACTATAAATTGCTGTTTGAATTCTCGTGCCCATTATTGTTCTTTTCAGTTATGTTACTCTCACTTTTATTTAAAAAAATGTGTGAATTTAAGGACACTTATATTTTGTCTACATATCTGGTATTGGTGTTGTTTCCTTATGTGTTCAAATTTCTATCATAATAATACCTCCCACTTAGATTTCTACCCTTAATTATACATGCGTATTCAACATGGTTCGAGGTGAGGATTTATATTTAAAAAAAACTTAAGATAGGTCTTAATGTACTGTACATAAATATTTCTTAGATCTGTATTCAATAGATGTCGCTTTAATATCAAAAATAATTAGCTAATCGTTTTATTACCTTAAGGCTTAAGGAGTAATGTCTGAAATAAAACAAGGGTGAAGATGTGCCATTGCTCACTCTTTATTACGCTTGTTAATTCAATATATAAAAACAAAATATAAATTATCTTGTAAAATATCACCAGTGATTGTTGAACGCTGCGCCGCTTAAAGCCCCTGCTTGAATACTTGCATAAAAATAATCGAGCGATGCTCAGGGACAGGGGCTCGAGCGGCGCAAGCGCAGGCGTCAGTGTGACGTCGGTCGTAGCAAGAAATCATAACACAATATTAAGAAAATTAACAAATGAGCCGCCTCCGCCATACAATTTGTTATACCTACTACATCTAAGACTGCACTTACCCTACACTTAACACTATGTACATACAATCTTTATCCAAGCGATTTAAAAAAAAGTCTTAGTACTTTTATCGTATTAATTTGAAAATTTGTTAAATGTCTTTATCATTAAATTCACTGAATTCACTCGCACCACATTTTTTTTCTTATTTTATAACGTTTTAGTTTTGGTTTAGGTATAACACAACAAAGAGTAACAGATATTTTAGCCCTGCTAAATAAACTAACATAAGTTACAACTAGGTACAACCGATAATCTTGATACTTGTACGAACCACGCGCGCCACTCCGTCCCCACCCCCATTCCTCATCCGACCCGAGCACTCGTGTCGCGTTTCCGTTTCCCAAAACTTACAAAACCCTTTTAAAAAGCGGGAATCGAAACGACTGTAAAAAATACTATGTATAAAGGACGCCATATTGCACAAAAGGCGCGGCGGGTTCGTATCAATTGACAAAACTGTTAAAACATTTCGTATTCTATAAAGAAATCACGTTGCATGGCTCGAGATTTTGTGTTAAATAAAAGGAGAGAAATACAAGAGGTGAGGTTTTAACACAAACAGCCAGCGTATCAGTCGCAATTCGAGATCAAATAGCGAGGCAATTGACGCCTCGCGTGACCGCGTCCATGCTTGGGGCCTAGCGCACCTCGCGTGGGGCTCTTTGCGCCCCGCCTGGGGCTCACCGCTCCCCGCTTGGACCACCGATTATAACATACCATCCGTCAAGTCTAATTTAAATTACTCGTTATGTAACGAACAATGGCTTCGTACAAAATCCACCGCTTACTGGTATCACTGAAACTGTCACAGTTTCCGTCATAATTGGAAGTTTGACGAGCGATACACACATCCCGATATACTATAACAGTTTAAACACAGTATTCAAAATGAGTAAATACTTCCAAAAACTACGTAGTGTCGGCGGGTCGACCCGGCGCGCGACTAACATCTATCAGTAAGTTTGTACTTTGATCATTATGAGTGTAGAGGAACTAACACTGGAGCGATCTCGATTCGATACAATGATATGAAAGTCGAATAGTCAGCTGTCGTCCGGCGCACGCGACGGTCGCAATGTTTCGTGCGAACGTCGCTTACTAACACTGTGTATACGACATATAGTTTATTGCGCTAACGGATAAGTATAGACTAAATAGAGGCGGGCGATGTTTCGCACGAAACGGGCGGAATCCTGTGTCCGGCCGCCGGCGCGACGCGTCACGGCGGGCCCAGTGGGGGGTTGGTACGATCCTTGGGAAACTGTACTGATTGCGAGCGACTCACAATTTCTGAAAATAAAAATAAAAGATGTGTTAAAATTGTAAAAGATCTAGGAAATTACAAGATACTATGTGGCTAGTATTGCTTTTTTTATATAGAACAGCGGGCAAACGGGCAGGAGGATCACCTGAGCCCTCTGGCATGGACACTCTCCATCCCAGGTGTGTTGCCGGCCTTTTAAGAATTGGTTCGCTCTTTTCTTGAAGGACCCTAAGTCGAATTGGTTCGGAAATACTTCAGTGGGCAGCTGGTTCAACAAAGTGGTGGTGCGTGGCAAAAACTGCCTTGAAAAACACTGTGTTGTAGAACGGCGGACGTCGAGGTGACACGGGTGGAAGTTCGTATTCTGGCTTGACTTCCGATGATAAAACTCAGCTGCAGGATTAATCCGAACAGCTCCTCTGAACTCTCTCCATGGTAAATGCGGTAGAAGATGCAGAGTGACCCCACATCTCTACGCAACGCCAAAGGATCAAGCTGCTCGGATAGGGATTGGTTGTCGACGATTCGAACCGCTCTTCGTTGAATCCGGCAAGTGGAAGGAGCTGGTACTGGGGAGATCCCGCCCAGAGGTGAGAAAATCAGTGAAAATACAGAAAAATATATGTCCCACTGGAGGAAGGGGATTTGCGGGGTTATGCTCAAAATGCGGGTCATAATTATATTTACCAGCAGTGTGCTCGAGTGTGGGGACACGCGCGGCTCACCAACAGAAGACGGAGAGTTCTCCGCCGTGCGCGCCACCAACCGCGCGCCATGATCGCACGCCACCACCGCCCACTTTTAACTGAAAAACAAATTTAGATTTGTTAATGTTGTTGTATAAAGTAATGTATTAGAAATAAAAAAAGTTTATAAAGTACAGTGTAATGGGGACACTTAATATGAACGCAATTATGTTCAGTAGTTTATATAAAAGGGTTCGTGGTTATTCACAGGCTAAAAATAGAAATGTATTAAAGTTTAGCCACGACATTTGACACTTACGATCAATTATGGTTTTATTTTACGAGCGACCAACAACATGTCAACCCCAGCTTACAATCTTGCATATTTTTTTATTAATTTTAAACATATGTTTTATATGTTTAAAATTGCCGATTCACGCGTTGTTGCAATAATAAAGTACTTCCAAGAATCAGACTTTATACAGATAAATGTAACATAACAAAATAAAATTGACTTAAAATACCTATCTGTCAAAATTATTCACCTACATGTCTTTCCAGATATGTCACCCATATCTCAAAAACTACCGAACCGATTTTAATAACTTATCCTTAAGTTGGATGATTAAATTCATGAGGTCCTCAACCTCTAGTTTGCAACCAATAGTTACCAATACATTTATGTAAGCTTGTTAACACCTCCGACGACTACATAGTCGGGGAATAATCTGGAAACGTTTAATTAAAAAAAAAAAAAACCTCTAGTTTGCAAGAAATTTGTGGACAAAGAAACATACATCTATGACTATTATATGTGCTTGGAAGTACGTACATAGATCATCGTACTCAAATAATCAGTACCCAATACATATATACAGGTCTAACTGATAACATCCTTAATTTTAAAGTCGGATATAAATCACCGGAATTTCAGTCGCGAAAACAGCACTTGCCGTAACATTTTCCATATAATTTAAAAAGTTTTGGTGTTTTTATTCCTCCGGTAACCAAACTATATAAAAATGAAATCTCTTTATAAGCTGTTAAAGAATCGTTTTTGTTACCATTCCCAAACGATAAATATTAATTAACGTTTTAATAGACCTTAGAACTCCCCCTATGACTGTATAGAAATATAGTTATCCTCTGATTTTCAATTAAAAAGGGTGAGTTGACAATCGATATCAATAATGCATCTTATGTTCGTAGTACAGTGAGGTGTAGAGTGCGCGCGCATCACGGCCATTGAGTGGCGGGAGTCCTCATTGAGGACACCGGGCATAGGATAGCAGGACCCCATGTATGTGTACGTGAAATCGATTTTACTATGACAAAGGATTTACTATCAAAATGTCGCCGGCTAATTTCGTCTACTCTAGTTAGGAGTCGACTATTTCGATATTTAATTGTCATCTATATCTGTTTGTTATAATGAGTTAATCATGGTTTGTGGATTTGTATGTATACCTTCATAATTAAAAAGTTTATACTGTCTTTAGCCTCTATTATATTGACTGCATATATTTGTGTGGTGTAAGCGCGACGACGTACGAAATTTTGAAATACAATTACAATTTGTACTTTTAGGTTATTACGATGGAATAATATCAATACAAATAATACAACCAACTTTTTAAAGAGTTAATGATTCTATATTGACATCTTATTCTTTCGCATTATAATAGGTTTCCATTGTGAGCTTAAGGTGTATTGCTGGTAATGTAGAACCCGCATGTAAGGTCACTGACCCCGAGATAAGCGTTACTTTTTAATTTTGTGTTTTCAGAACTGGAAAACAGACTCTTGAATGTTACAAAAACTTGTTAATTTCAGACCAAAATACTGAAGATGGCGCGGGCGTATCCATATGTAAACCGATTTAATAAAAAGAGGGACTTTGTATTAATTACAATATAGCCTATAGTACAGCTAATACTATTATTAACAAGACAATTAATAAGTTTTAGCAGAAACCGATACTCTTTGACCTTATCTTCTTCTAGCGACCTGTCACGGTTTTTTTTAAATATTATGGCAATAGTTTTGACTTTATGCCAGTTTCAAGTAAAATCCTGTCACGGTTTCGGAAGCATAATCGGTGGAAATAATAATAAAATAGCCTATGTTTATAACGTGTGCATTTACTTTGAGTTTTGTTACAAACATTTTATTATCATGTTCATTCTCATATCTGTAAAAATATCATACATATGTTTTCGTAATGGTATATATGTACCTATACGAATATAATCATCATAATATACTGAGGTTAATTATGTATTTTATAAAGAATGTAAATAAGTATAGATTATGTATTAATGGGCATTTTAATTAGTGTTCATTCATTGATGCTTTAATGCAGGGAATATTAATTAAAATGCTTCATGCTTAGAATCCCATAATGCGAATATTTTTTCATTCAATATATTGAATAGATAGAGGTATTATTTACAAATCTAAAGCAAGAGTTCGTTGTAAAAATAATTATCATTTATTTTATGATTTAATTTTTATTACTTACACACTTTCTTTACATAAAATAGTCGAACAAATAACAAGCGAAGGTATAGAAAATGCCTGATAACGTCATCTCACAACCCCCGTGGCATTATAAATACATACGGCGTAAAACCTGGAGAACTTGGGTTCGATTCTCAGTGAGCAGTAAAGAAAATTTTAAAGATTAATGTTATATAGTGTCTACCATATACCCCGTTGAGATGTTTTGGAATTGCATACATCGTCCAGTCACAGTCTATTTATTAAATTAAGTGAACTAAATAAAATAATGACGCAACTGAATAACAAGTCCGCATAATTGCACGCAAGAGTAATTAAAAATTAACATATAAAAATGTCGGATTGAGTGCGGGGATAGCATGTGGCATGTACGCCATGCAGTGTGGGAAAGTACCCATATGCAGACACATTGTGTGTCACCTCGGTTAATAAACTAGCGTATCAGATATTCTCTTAGGAATAAACTATATATTTTAAAGAAAATATGCTTTTATCTACTTATAAATGTCGGAGCAATGGCGCTGGTATCAGCTGCCATTTTCATTATAATTTAATAACATCAAAGTCCATATTAATTATTATTATCGACCATTAAATAGTCGTTAATTTATAGATCTAGCAACATTTATACAGACTATCGAAAAGTCTGTTAATCTGTAGATTTATTAATATTGGCAAATCAAATAAACCATACAACGGTTTTTAACTAATTTGACTTTGATGTTATTAAATAATGATGGCAGCTGATACCAGCACCATTGCTCCGACATATATTTTAAGGGAAGTTCAAGCCGGGAATTGAGTAAATGGAACGTATACCACGTTCCATTTACTCAATTCCCGGCAGCCAAGAAATCTCAAACGAGGCTCGACTGGCCGTTCATAGAGGAGAGCTTATCTCGACGAACAAACGGGAGTGAATGTTGAGTGTGGCAGTCTGGCAGAAAAAGAAACTAGAATAAATTCCGTGGAAATGGTAACATTGCGTGATAGGATAAGTAATACGTGAGCAGTGTGGTATAAAAGAGGACGTTATGAAAAGGATACGAAAGGGAATGCTTATGTGGTTTGGCCTTGTAGAACAGATGAATGAGAAGAGGTTGTCAAGTAGGATAAGGCAACCGTGGATACCTCCTGGATTTGGTCCTAGAGAAGGGACAATTAATAGAACCCATAACCAACTAGCATGCAATGAAACATTCACGTCATGAAAGTAGATAAAGCGAGAGAGGTATGTTAGAACCGTAGCAAGTGGAGATCCGTGGTTTCTGCCTACCCTTTCGGGAAGCCGTTATAATATGAATAAACAAATAAATATTTTAAGGTAAATTAAGAATTTACCGTTTATTTGGTTTAAAAACCATTGGCTACAACCACCAGGTAGATAGGTAAAAGCCTATGCCCGGTAGAATGCGTGAGCGATCCCGGAGCGTGTCTAACGCGGCCTTGTAGAAACTACCCGAGGTGGTTTTAGTGGGTATTGTCCAGCCTCTGAGTAGCAGAGATTCTGGTGTGGGTTGAGCCTCGCATACCCCTGCTACTTTAGGGTAAATAAAAAAAGGTATAATCTAAAAAACTTGTCTTCTTTAAAAACCGTCTAGAACTGTTACAACGGCCAAGAATTAAAAAATCTGGTAATATATTATATTCTATGTTTGCATGATACATTGTAATAACGATAGGTACATTGTTTGGGGGGGCTTGTTTTTTCAAGAATATACATAAATGATAGTCTAACAAACAAATAAAAATGTCTATAGCACATTAATAAGCACCAACAAAAAGGTTTTTATGCAGGTCTTGTATTTCTGCGCTTACGTGTTTTTATCATTACTTGAATCCCTAGATGGCGTTGCACGTCCTTGGGGTAAACTGTGTGAACAAATTTTATTCGCACCAGTAATTATAGATATGTATGTCTACCGATATATTACTATAGAGGATTTAATCGTTTCTCAAAAGTAATATTTAAAAGGTGCCCAAAGGTCATAGATAAAAGTATTTTGCGATGGGCGTTATCCGCTAATATCAATCAAAATATTATGGAATGCCTCAGTGAGGAACACGTTAAACAGGAAATTTGATATGCAATTGACTGCATCTATGTACTGAATAAATGGTAAATACCGTACCTGTTGCATTTTATCAAAGTCAAGCGCGGGCCTGTGTCTACGAGGCGGTGGCGGCAGCGGAGCTCGACGACGGCGGGGAGAGCGTGGCGCACACGCACACGGTTCACGCCGCGGCTTTAGCGCCTCTAGCGGCGGCGACGTGCGAAATCGGACAGGCGTCTCCACCTGAAACACAACGTATTACAAAGTCACACCACTGTAGCTGAAGCAGTATGCCATAATTTGTATAATATTCTGGCATGTGAAAGAGCAACAGTGTAAATTTTGTGTAGTTAACCGAAATTTACTAATGTAATGTACTGTAATAAACTCACAATCCGAATTTTAAGGCTACAAGAGAAACCTCAGATATGTATTCGATTTGATTTCTCTGATCATTTTCTGTTTATTGGAATGTAGAATATCGCTCGCTAAACAGAGACAAACAGTGGTAGGAATGGCAAATGTGGATCGTCGGCTTGTTATGAAACGTAACCTATTTATATCTGATACTACCTATAAATACCTGATTATTGTAAGGCCCCGGTAGACCCCGAAGCAGGTGTCGCGGTAGTGTTAGTGTGGACAATGAGCAGTGGAGGTTAGATGGCGAACCTTAGTGTCGTCGTCGTCGTCAGACGGCGCCCTCGGCGGCGTGTCATCGTCATAAGGGTGAGCTGGCCAGCGGCGTTTCTCTGGCGCTGCGCGTGCTGGCGAAGAGGCACCACGCCGCCGCGTCTCAGCACGCGTCGCCCCACCCGCCACGCCGCTGTCACCGCTCGGCCCGCCGTTGATCACCTGTCCAAAGCCCATTGCTCCGATATGAGTGCATGCTACGACGGGGTTCGGGAGGCGAGTCGTAATTCAACTTGAATTCCGCAAAAAATATATGAATTGTAAATGCACGCGTATTCTCGAGTCGAGAGCGGAAGCCGCCGTAACGGGCCCCACAGCGTTACAAAAAAATAGTCACTCGACTCGTAATGTCTTGAATCAAAACGAGTCGTTTCGCTCCGGGCGGCGTAGAGGGGAGCGGGACGACGGAAAGAAAAGAAAAGCGGTAGTTAGGAGCGGGCGGGCTGCGACGTCTTCACTGAATATTTCAGCATGTAATTGCAGAACTCGCAATTCTCGTCCATCAAAGCGTCGCGTCATTACACGGCTGAATTAATGGCCGGAGTCACCGCCCGCCACCCGCCCCGCGCACCCTTACCGGAGAAAAAAACAGCTGGAAATAGCTTGCGAAAACGCTGCGGCTGCCCGCTCATTTATTATGGATACGATTCTACGAAAAAAAACGGAGTACACTCAGTGAAGGACCGGAATCTAATGGCATAAATTACTAACGACTATTGAATATCGACTAACCTAACTAATACACCTCTGCCTCATTTCGTGAATATGTAAAATGTTTACGGCCTATTTTAAAATGATATAAAAAATAGATTGCGTGTTTCAGCGCTTACCATCTATTCATTTCCGTAGCTATACAATAGCGCAAAAGTAAAATAAGACGAGAAACTTAAACTTAAGTAATTTACAGCGAAGTTTCGTTGTGGAGTTGCGGAGGGCGCGACGGCTGTCGGGTCTCGGCCAAATTTTACGGTTCACTGGAACACAAAGAGATCATCCGACTACACTAAACCCGCTACAAAATTTAGCTACCCAAAAATTACTCGCGTCTATCTCTTGCTCAAATTGGAAGAGGTTTGTAGAACGCCGACATGCCGACTTAAAAAAGCTGACCTAATCTGTCGGAACATTCTTCCAATGTTTAATTTTACTCAGATCGGTAAACATAAGCCGATTATGATTATAAATCAAAACATTAGGCAGTCTGATAAGAAATCCTTTCGATAGGCAGTTTCTGATAAGGGATAAGCATAGATAAGGCAGGCACAGGAGCTCAACGGTCCACAATAGACAGCCGCCCTATAAGAGCACATTGTAGAGTCGTCAGCCAGAGTATTATCTCACACGATCCATTTCATAAGAAACTTATTCGCCATTGTCCGTTTATTCCTTACAATTAAAGCACAGACAAAAGAATTTCTAATTTTCCAACCGAGCGGAAGATAAACAAATGTTATGTAAGCAGCAGACGAAAAAAGGAAAACTTAACAAAACGTAGGTAGACTGTTTGTTCTCTTTTCAGCAGCACGAGGAAAATAGCTTAAACTGAAGATGAGTAGGTATTTACGTAGTCATGAAATGTGGCGTTAAACATAATTGTACCTGCATTCTGAGTACGAATACAATGAAACCATTCAATGCGGACATATCATGTATTACGGGATTATGTTGATGCTACTTAGCGCTGTAATAGCCAATCTAACCATAGATACAATCTTCATGTAGTCTGTAATTGTGAAATACTTTTGTAAATGTTTCAATGTTAAGCTATAGATTGTCGCAATTATGTTTCAGTTCGCCGGCACCTCTTGAAGGGACAACAATGAGGCAGAGAGGGTATGTGGCAGGGGCAGGAAGGGCGCTCCCCGGATCCACGTCACACTACAAGCTCCCTCGTAATCATACCCTGCACCTCCGCCACTTTGATATCGCAAATGACTACCTTCCAGCCTTACGCGTCAAAGTTACAACTCCGACATCAAGTAATACGTGTATAAGTATTGTGCCGTGTTCAAATGTAATTCTACGTGTAATTCACTTTAATGATCCCGCTATTATCCAGTAACTGCACTTTGTAAATAAAAACAAAAGCATTACACTTAATTTGTGTTATTATTATTAGTTACTTAAGACGTCATGTGGAACATGGTTTAACGGTTGCAGCTCCTTACAAACGTTGTTTAAAAAAAAAGGCGATTAAAAAGAGTGGCGGAGAGTTTATTGCAGTTCTTCTCTTCCGTTCTACGCCCTTGATTTGAGAACTGGCACTAAATGTAAAATTAGAAGCATTAATATGTATTTCTTTACTGACAAGTCATAAGTGTACAATGTGTTACCCATATGATTAAATGATTTTTGAATTTTGAATTTGAATTTGCAAAAATAAAAGCTTAATAGAATAATTAGTTACTATGCAACAAAATTCTAAAATAATCCCGAAATAATCACGTTTCGTTTTCCCTCGACTTCCTTATAAGTATTTGATTTAACAATCTAAAGTTCGGTCGATCGGTTATATGCCTCAACGAATAGTAAAAAATCAATAAGATTTCAAACGCGGATGGCAGATGGGTCTAAAACAATGGACTAATAAACTATTTTGATTTGGCTGCGGGAGAGGAATGCCGGGGAGTATCTATAAAAGCAGGTGGCGCGGCGTGAGAACTCTGCATGTCTTTCTTTTGTTTAACTAATTTTTGCCAGACTGAGGCCGGGAGGGCGTTCACCCTGATATTTTTATTTAACGTAATATTATTTCTATTCGGAATTCATTTTTCTCTTCGAATATTATTAATCCAATTTCCTATCCCGAATTCTTTTGAAACAAATAAAATTGCTCGGTGTTTCATAACGTATCTTTGCTTTAATTGGATTAAATATAATTTTTAGACCTTGCCTTTGTTATTTGTACCAATTAAAAACGGATCCAAGACAAACCATCAAATATAGATAATTGTTTTCTTTTATAAAATCCGTTGTTACATTAACTGTTCTAAGATGTTTTGTAATTTACTAGATGCATAGCTTGCAAACAATGGGTCTTTAAAAAGCAATTCGTATACAGAGATGCGAGATTCGGAATGGCAACACTAATGTTAATATCGGTCGACTTCGGCAAATGCGAATATATTCGTCCTTTTGGTGAATGGAGGGTTTTCGGAAACGGTACTTTCGAATGTCATAATAGTTCCCTTGACGTGGGGAGGTTACGATTGCTGTGACAGCATCCTGGGTGGAAAGGGGGTTTAATTTAGTTGCGGTGTGTCGTACAGAATTAATGTGGCATGTGAGGAGGCGGTCGCTTGGCGTATAACTAACTTAGCGCAGCTGCGAATTAGATACACGGTCTCGGAGGGAACTTCGTTATCGAATTGTATTCCTATTTTTCATATGGAAATTGATAGCATTGTACCGTCAAGAGTTTATCACTTATCAGCTAACCTACTTTTGTAAACTATTCAAAGATTGAACTGAACTATGAGATAAAATCTACGAAGCAGTAACCTTTGTGATTCAAAGAAAAATGCTTAAGAATGAAGATGTAATGTTAGATTGCGTTAGGTGGCTGCGGGACGCAGAGCCAATATGTTGAAAGCTCTTGTAAAAGCTTAGCGAACATCAAAGACACGAGAGCTGTTTGTTGTTCAGACGCGCAGACACCTAGACAAAAGGTCTAGGAACCAATATAACTTAGTTAAAATTCACTTAACTTTCTCAATATTATATTAAACAAACTTCTGTGTACCAAAACAAAACCAAGTTTAATGCTTTCGACAGGAGTAAAAAATATCCATTCATTGATAGGTATTGACGGCACAAACATTTAAAATTGTTATTAGTTACTACTAAATATTGAAAACGTCAGAATAGGTGCGCGTTAGATCGAAATACATTAGTAGTACATTGGTATTAATGGCGAGAATGCTACACGCTCGATAATTATCGTGATATTTATCGTGATATTTATCTTGTATTTTTTTAGTATACTACACACTCGATACGGATCGCGTCAGTACGACGGTAAATTTCATTGAGTACACTCGTACATTTCGTGTTACAATATGAGTAACAATATTAAGAAAGCTTGCGTTGCCATTATTATTATTATTATTATCAGTATATGCTGATATACATCAATATCCAAGACTTTGAATTGTAAACATTTTCCGCTGCAGCACCAGATCGTTTCAAATCTGTTATTTTTTAAATTATTTTCTGTAGTTTGCCTAGTTTGCATTTGAGGTGTCCCATATGGCCGATTTACACGTATTAAGTTGACTAAAAATTTACTAAATATTAACTTAATTTTAAGTAACTTAACCCGTGTAAACAGTGAATTTAGTAAGAAGTTGCAAGTTAAAATTTAGTTGCAAGTAAACAAGGTAGAATAGAATTTTGTCTATTTTTCGGTTAAGTTGGTGGGCGTGGCTAATCACTTGACACGTTTGGACAGGCAAAATTTAGTTAAATTTAAGTGAAAAGCATAAGCTGGCGGAGTCATTGCAAAGCTATGCTTTTGCTTTCGGCGCTGGAAGCTCAAAAACATATCCAAAACTATTTGTCCGATATGCGTATACAACAATTAATGAACAGTAGTAGAACCCCTTCCCCAATGAATAATAGTAGCCGTTTTACTCCTTCGCCTTCTTCAAATACGTATTACGTTGAGTCCCCAGAACCTTCACAATCATGTATTGGAGCATACAATACAGTAAATCCCCAATCAGGAAGAGAAAATCCTATAATATTTTGTTCTGTGGTCGTCCATCTTGAGCGAATAAATGAGTTTAACTAATTATTTAGTATTTTTACGTGTAAACGGTTACTTAAAATTTAGTTAAGACTTGGCAACTTAATACGTGTAAATCAGCCTATACTTATAGGTAATGTTTCTAATACAAGTATGAATTCTCTATATTATTCCGCCTCCATATATGCGCGTCCTCTTCCATCGCTGGCAGAATAAATACTGACGCGATAAATATCGAGCAGAGACTAGACGCTCGATATTTATCGACGATAATTGATACGGATCGTGGATTTTTAGATTTCTAGAAATCCAGCGATCCGTATCACGGATCGTGATACGCATGTACTACACATCGTAATTTTGGATCACGATCCAAATATCACGATAAATATCGAGCGTGTAGCATTCGCCAATTGACGGCAGACATTTGAAACTGTCACTAGTACTAAATATTGAAAACGTCAGAATAGGTGCGCGTTAGATCGAAATACATTAGTAGTACATTGGTATTAATTGACGGCAGACATTTGAAACTGTCACTAGTACTAAATATTGAAAACGTCAGAATAGGTGCGCGTTAGATCGAAATACATTAGTAGTACATTGGATAATTGACGGAACTTTGAAACGTCACTAATACAATTTGAAAACGTCAGAATAGGTCGTTAGTCGATACATTAGTAGTACATTGGAATTAATTGACGGCAGACATTTGAAACCGTCACTAATACTAAATATTGAAAACGTCAGAATAGGTGCGCGTTAGATCAAAATACATTAGTAGTACATTGGAATTAATTGACGGCAGACATTTGAAACCGTCACTAATACTAAATATTGAAAACGTCAGAATAGGTGCGCGTTAGATCGAAATACATTAGTAGTACATTGGAATTATGAGGGAGACATTTGAAACCGTCACTAATACTAAATATTGAAAACGTCAGAATAGGTGCGCGTTAGATCGAAACATTAGTAGTACATTGGAATTAATTGACGGGAGACATTTGAAACCGTCACTAATACTAAATATTGAAAACGTCAGAATAGGTGCGCGTTAGATCGAAATACATTAGTAGTACATTGGAATTAATTGACGGGAGACATTTGAAACCGTCACTAATACTAAATATTGAAAACGTCAGAATAGGTGCGCGTTAGATCGAAATACATTAGTAGTACATTGGAATTAATTGACGGGAGACATTTGAAACCGTCACTAATACTAAATATTGAAACGTCAGAATAGGTGCGCGTTAGATCGAAATACATTAGTAGTACATTGGAATTAATTGACGGGAGACATTTGAAACCGTCACTAATACTAAATATTGAAAACGTCAGAATAGGTGCGCGTTAGATCGAAATACATTAGTAGTACATTGGAATTAATTGACGGGAGACATTTGAAACCGTCACTAATACTAAATATTGAAAACGTCAGAATAGGTGCGCGTTAGATCGAAATACATTAGTAGTACATTGGAATTAATTGACGGGAGACATTTGAAACCGTCACTAATACTAAATATTGAAAACGTCAGAATAGGTGCGCGTTAGATCGAAATACATTAGTAGTACATTGGTATTAATTGACGGCAGACATTTGAAACTGTCACTAGTACTAAATATTGAAAACGTCAGAATAGGTGCGCGTTAGATCGAAATACATTAGTAGTACATTGGAATTAATTGACGGGAGACATTTGAAACCGTCACTAATACTAAATATTGAAAACGTCAGAATAGGTGCGCGTTAGATCGAAATACATTAGTAGTACATTGGAATTAATTGACGGGAGACATTTGAAACCGTCACTAATACTAAATATTGAAAACGTCAGAATAGGTGCGCGTTAGATCGAAATACATTAGTAGTACATTGGAATTAATTGACGGGAGACATTTGAAACCGTCACTAATACTAAATATTGAAAACGTCAGAATAGGTGCGCGTTAGATCGAAATACATTAGTAGTACATTGGAATTAATTGACGGGAGACATTTGAAACCGTCACTAATACTAAATATTGAAAACGTCAGAATAGGTGCGCGTTAGATCGAAATACATTAGTAGTACATTGGAATTAATTGACGGGAGACATTTGAAACCGTCACTAATACTAAATATTGAAAACGTCAGAATAGGTGCGCATGATCGCAATAAATGTTAGAACAAGATTTAATCAAGGTCTCAAATCAATGTGAAGGTTACTCCAATATTAATAACTGCACCTATTATATTTTACGGTCGCCTCATTCGTTTATATTACACGCAAAGAATTAATTGATTTTATAGTAGACACGGTTAGTAGAAAATGAATAGTGAGAAAAAAAATCATTCCGGGTATTTCCAGACCAACTTGATAAATATTTTGTTAGTTTTTTACATTAAAGTATAGGCTTAAATCACTGAACACTACTTTCAGTTGCCTTGCCCATTTCCCTTTAACTTTACGATTCTGTTTAGTATTCTTATGCGTCAATAAAATATGAGGCAAGTCGTAAGTTTAACGATAGATATAAAGCAACCAGTTAAAAAAAACATTGGCTTTTCGATTCTAGATATTGTTCATTTTATAGATATTGTACATATTAGTAACAAAAAACGGAGCTATGATGGAATTAGGGATTGTTTCTGAATAACCCAATATGCAATTAGCAGTATAATAGTTTCTAGACACAGTTGTAAATTTCAGTATGAGACACTGTACACTACACAAAATATTGGACGAAATCATTTGGTCGGAAAAAACCTTAAATTAGTTTTAAAAAATCCATCTCTAGCGTAAACTAACAAAAGCTTGCCAAAAATAAACCTAAGCATTATATATACCTCTAATTCTTCTTCTGAGGAGTGATGGTCATATAGCTGGTCCGGTTCGGGAGCAGCGAGTGGCCGAGGTGGAACAGGAGCGCACGCGCACGCCTCTCCGCCCATGCCTATAACAAAACATTTTTTGTTTTATGTCAAAGAAACAAAATACATATAAATTAAAAGTTCAAAACGCGTGTATACGGTGATTAATCAACGGACATTATATAGTTGATACAATAAGCATTATACAGACTTGCGTGATGTCCCCAGAGGGGGGCCGCTTATTAGATGGGGGTTAGATGAATTTCTGCTTTAGTAAAAAAATATTGTTTATCTTCTAGAATAGGTAAGCAGTTAATCAGTTGTAAAGTAGGAAACCAGTAAGAAAAAAATTACCGTCTTGGGTTCGAAACAGTAGAGACATTTAAATCCGGTACCGGGTATTTCTCTCGTTATTATCTGACTCTTGTTTGTGATAGTAATTATTAAAAAAAATATTTTTGAAAGAAAACAAAACCTTTATCCTTTAATATTTCTAACTAAATAATTAAATTTTACTAACATGAAATTAATACACAAAAGTAGGCATACTCAAGAATTAAAGTAGTAAAGGGGATTTGAAAGACTTCTTAAAAAAAAGTGTATTAAGAGTGATATCTGCTAACTGGCATCTTTGTCCGTTGCAATTTACCACTAATCCTCTCTCCTGGTTGGCAACACTATAAAATTATATCAACTCAAAAATCTCCCCTTTGTTCCTTCCTCCGCGATTAATGGATTTTTCAAATATAACAGCGCTCAGTCTTTTATCGACGCTCGGAGACGATTTCATCGAAGGACCAACTTTTCTGAGTTTTAGGTCTTCTAGCTTTCGAATCATGAAACCAACGTATGTTCTGCACTAACTCAACAGTCTCCTAACCGTAACCAACGGACGTCATATTATGCTCGGGACATCCCGAAAAACGGATCTCGCAGACCCGGACGGATGATTCCCTGAGTAGAACGCAAGATTATACAAAGCCCTTAACTACTAAGAATTGTGAGGTAAGCTTAATAGATCCTTGAAATTTACGAAAGTCACCATTATCTAGTATGTAATAATTATAAATATATTTACGAGTATGTTACTTAAAGCATAATAGAATCAGATAGCAATATATGGCTCCTTTGTATTCAGACTGGCTACACTATTGTCTCATCAGAGCCATTAAGGCGACCTGCGGCCACTTCTAAAAATGTCAATACATTGCATAAGTCACTACACTACCACAAATATGACACTCCTAGTTTAGTCAAAGGTTTAATATGAAAATGATTGTTCCTATGCAGTTTGGAACAGTTTAATTCTTTGTACATCACAAATCAAAGATTATTTTAAGTAAAATGTTTATAAGGAGCAGCACGATAAAAATATTTGATTTAAATAGTTATATTTTAGTTAAGATATTTTTTTTTAATTCACACCATTTGACCTAGACCTATGCTTAAAGCTGGGTGAAGCTTGTGTTATGGGTACTAGCCAATGGATATACATTACATTACATTATTATACATAGATAGACCTAACACATATAAATACATATTTAAACACCCAAGACCTAAGCACGACACCAAATGCTCATCACATCAATGTTTGTCTCAGCCGGGGATCGAACCCGGGACCCATGGATCGCAGTCAGGGGTACTAACCACTAGACCAATGAGCCGTCAAATATATATAGTATATATATATATATATATATATATATATATATATATATATATATATATATAGTCAGATGTTTTAGTATAGATATAGTAAAGATATTCGTAGTAGAAAATTTAATATAAAACCGTAATAATATAATTCTATTAAATATATCTTTGATTATAACTCTTATATATACACAATTTCCTTCATCTACATATTTGTATTCAGAAGAAAATCTTAGAAAATAGACTGTCGAAAATAATGCGATGCGAGCTTTCAGTTTTCATTTAGTAATAGACAAAGTGAATCTTTTTTATAATTCACTACTTTCCCAGAGCCCTCCCCTTAGTATATAAAAAATAAAACGAAGCGAATGCATGGAGGCGATGCAAAGATAAGTCATGAAGAAAGCTCTTGTATGCATAAAGAAAAAGAAGATTCTTGTGTATAAACGCTTGAAGAATAAACGGGTTGATATTATAGAAAAACTACGATTAAAAAATATTTCCAAATGATTTTAAATGAGCGAAAAATACTTTAGTGAAGATTATTACAAGAAAAAAGTTAAAAGTAAGAATACAAAAAATCCCCCACCGAGAGACATGCATAAAATTGCATAATTATAAAGTACAAGTTATGCCTGGCAACAAAAGAGCAAAGTACGAAATTAGTCAAACGCTGAGCTAAGCATCGCAACGGGAGGGCGCCGTGTGCAACGGAACATTATTACGGACCTTCTGTCTCTCGCACTTGTAAAGCTGAGCGACTTTTGTCGACAAACAAAGCTGCTTTCGTAAGCGTATTAACAAATTTTTGAAATATATCAAAGTTTGTATTGAACATTTTCTAACTGTCCAAGACTCATGAAAATAGGTTTGGTACTTTATGTATAACACGAGTTATATAACTCGTGTTATACATAAAGTACGTAGTAAGTAAATATAATGAAGCCGGTTAATTTTTCTAAATTACTTTTATTGAATAAAGATAATATACATATTGAACGAGGAATAGATGTGAATACGTATTCTAACCATAGTTTATTCATTCACTTGGAGGTTCTGTGTTTAACATTTGGGAGGTTAAAGGTCTTTTTATCATTAATCAGTTAATTGAGTTATTGAAAGTAATATATATACATATTTATTTTTTATAACGCAGACGGTGTTTTTGTGGTAGGCCAATAGGCCTAAAATATATACAATAGTACTGGATGCTAAATTAAGATTAGGGCTCTTAAAATAGCTTAGAGCAAGCTGTCAGTGTAGGTTGGCATCTATATAGTGTTATATTTATAAATGGAAAGTAAAAATAAAACTTTTGGTAATAAATATAAATACCCCAACTAGTTGCGATCGCGCGATCAGATACCGGTTGCTATTCGTAATAACCCCACCGGGTGCAGTGTGCGGGGCGGGGTTGATATGCGCAGGGGATGGGGTGCAAGCCGCCGGGGGGAGGGGTGGACTTGAACTTGCATACAGCAGACCGCGCGGCGCCAAACCACGCGCCAGACAACGTTGTTATCAAATATCAGGGCAATTTTTGAAATCCACTATCGAGAGTCGACTTCCTTTTCAAATGCACCAATAAATGTTCAAGATCGGGAAGATTCTTTACATTTTAGCGTAATTCTATGTCAAAATTTTTCTATACGTGATCACTTTCGATCAATTCATAAAATAATTTGTCATGTTTTATTATGAGACTGGGGGCAAAGGAGCCAGGGTCACTTTAAGGGCAGTTATCATATATATTTAATATGTACACATTTTGAAAATGTTTGTATGATTATTTATTTAGACATATGTATGGTTATGAGTTAGTAGGAGTGTTTTGCAATAAGGAATATTTTTTTTAATTTCACCATTATTGTGAAAGGCTGGTGCCTGTAATACGACTATAGAGGTCCTGTGGAAATGTCAGCAGCCTTCCATCGCGGATAGCAAATGTTCAGCATTATAGAGATGACTATATACTACTAATTAAGATAAAAATATAACTAAAGCCTGGCGGTGTATGAATGTGTGGGCGTGTGAGCATGTGTAAGGGTGTGGGAATTAAACGTGTGTGAAAGCGTACTTTGATTTGAACCCAGAACTTCCAAGTGAATGAATAAACTATGGTTCAAATACGTATTCATCATTCAATATCTTTATTCAATAAAAGTTACTTTAGTTAATTTAGAAAAATTAAACCGACATTATACGTGTATAGGTACATAAATGTGTCCCATATCTCATAAACTACCGAACCTATTTTCATGAGATTTGTACTGTTCCCTGTTAGAACCTATATAATACTTCGATATGATCACTTTTAGTTCTCAAACATTTGTTGACAAACATACGAAATTCATGTGCGTAGAATCCTGAAATATATTATAACACTAAAACATTAAGTCCAACAATATCTCATACAAAACTTTTTTATTGGAACTAACTTTAAAAAACTTAACAACTTATGCCTTACGATTTTTGGCAGACAGTAAATCAATTAAGTTAAACCATAATTCATAAGGCGTGATCACAACTTCGCTCTTGGCACAGAACTGTTTTGAAACTACTGACTCATAAGTTAAGAGCATTAAGAGAATCCATCCAGCGTGTAATAAAGATAAGTAATTGACTCAAATAAATGAAATTAAATGGGAAAAACAAATCTAATAACAAGCTCGAGTGTGTTCCAAATTTAAACAATTTCTGATAGTTCTAGGCTATGGAATAATAATTCCTTTAAGATTCACCAAATTCAGTTTACGCGATGAACGTATCAAGTGCATTGAACGCGGAAGTGTATAAAATAAGAGAGTACCAAATATGTGGTATAACATACAATATATACAATAAACTTTTGCCTGTTCTACGGCGAAATCTCACAATAATCTGATCTTATATGTCAAATGTAATTTTATAACTTTATTTTATTTATTTAACAGTTTATTAACAATACAAATCTTTTTTTAAAGATAATATTTATTTAAAAAATAGAGTCAAAACGGATTACACCATATATACGACGAATTACTACAAAACATGTACTAACCAAGACATTTACTATTAATTTATTGGTTGAGGTGTGTGTGGGTTGAAAGGGTGTGTAAGTATGTGATTTTAAACTTCAATTTGCTCTCTCTTTCGAAAAGACGCGTTGATTTTTAAATAGAAATCTAAACAAGTATTGGTTACAAAAAGTTAAATGATTTCATCTAATTTGACACTTGACCAATTAGCAGCTTGAAAACGTATTTTTTTTGGTATATTTATATATGTATATAAAAGAAAAATGGTCTTCGTTTGAGGCTCCTTCACGCCTAAACCACTGATCGTATCGACATGAAACTACCACCATTCGATGCGAAATTTTTCCTAGATGGTTATTTATTTATTAAATTCCAACGTTCCTTCATTTTTTTATTGCTGTTTTACTT